GGTTCCCTGTTCCCACATGTCCCCTCCCCTGGTCCCCTTGTCAATGCTCTATACTTGGCCAGTGCAAAGCAGGGCCAGGGAAGTTCATAATCTTGTGCCTCAGAAATTCCTGGATCTTTGTGAGGATATAAATCATGGTGGCTATCATCTCTCAAATCTTATAGTCTCTGCCAGGCCATTTTAATGGGTGCATCATCTCACTGAGTGCTCCAAGTCATTCTAGGAAGCAAGTATAGGATCATCCCTTATCCAAAATCTGAAATGTTCTGCAATCTCAGGGTATTGGCTCAAAAAGTTTTGGATTTGGGAGTATTTCAGAGCGAATTTTTTTTTTCTTTTTGTGGTGCTGGAGATTGAACCCAGGACCTTGTGCATGTGAGGCAAGCACTCTACCAACTGAGCTATACCCCCAGCCCTCAGAGTGAATTTTTTGAGTTAGGAATGTTCAACCAGAACGATCTGTGCAAATATCCCAAAACCAGAAGCCTCCAAAATGTGAAACATTTCTGGTCCCAAGCATTTCAGATAAAGAATATGCAACCTGCACTATTTTCAACCTACATTACAGGTCAGACCTGATCTCTCTCAAACACACCAGGTATAATTATTTAAAAAGAAACACAGAAAAGAAAAATTATGTGTGTATGTATATGCATATGTATGCATATATATACACATACATACATATATAATATGTAAAATAATATTGACTTTTTTAACTTTATAGATCACAACTTTCACTAAAACAAAACCTTCTACATCTTTGTTGAAGGTTTCTTTTGAACAAATACCTTTTCTTAAAGTAATGCCAGGAAATGATACTAGAAATGTTTATCTTTAATCCAAAATTATGGACTGAAGGGACTACAGAAAAAAATTCTCCCACTGTACAGCCAAAGGCTATGAGATAAATGAATGCTGTGTTTATTTACAAGGAATGTCCTAGTTTTCATAGATATGCTCTTATTTAATAGTTGAAACTTAATATTTTTGAGCTTATACATGAAATTTTTCTTCAGTACTCAGCATAACAACCTAAAATGTCTTTTTTCTTTTTTCCTCCCCATACCAGGAATTAAACCCCAAATGCTATATCTCTGGTGATTTTTATTTTTTATTTTTGAGATAAGGTCTCACCAAGTTGCCTTGAACTTTCCATCCTCCTGCCTCAGCTCCCAAGTAGCTGAAATTACAGGTATGCACCACAACACTGGTTGTGCAATCTGAATGTCTTAATAGCAGCAATCATAAGAAAACCTTTACAGGGCTGAAAGTGTAGCTCAAGTGGTAAGATGCTTGTCTAACATGTGAGGCACTGGGTTCCATTCCTCCATAAGTGTAAGAAACCTGTACAGGTAGAGAAAAATGTTAAGTGCAGAATTTAAGAACATATAGGTGTTCACTGAAGAATTATTTCCATATCTGAAATAATTTTCTATATTCTGAAGTTTTTCATAATAAATATTGAGGACAGGGGAAGTGATTGCAATGATGCCATCAAACTGTGACTTCCCATGGAAATTCACAAGGCTACTAGTGGGAAAAAAGTGTATACATATCCATGTTTGAAAGTTTATCATTTATATGTAAAAAAATTAAAGTCTTCTTTTCACCAAATGAAAACTTAGAAAATAAACCAAAAAACTCCTGAATCCTTACCTAATGAGCTGTAAATCTCATGTATTTGAATAATTCTTTAGTATCCGCGCCAGCTTCATGAATGAAAGTTCAGTTCGAGACGTGAGAAACCACTAGGAAGTTTTGAATTAAAGAGACTCTAATTACTTTTAAACTAGCTCCAGGACAGCTCCTCCTAGCTCCAGCCTCCAGCCACCTATTGTGGTAGCGAGGTTTACTGAAGAGGCTAGTGAGAGAGAGAGAATACGCCAGGGAGTGGACTTTTATTGGGGAACAAAAAATTCTGGGGAAAATCCCATCCAATGAAGATTAAGGGGGGCAGCATCCCAAGGTCAGGGGCGATGATTGGGTCTTCGGGGCAGTGGCCAGACATGCCTCCACACGGACAAGCCCTGGGACCTGAGAAGGGTGAGGAAAGGTCTCACACAGCTGTGCCTAAGCGTCTCTTGCCCAGCCAGAGAGATAACTCAAATCACGTGCAAGGATGGCCTCCCACATAATTCTAATTATTTTTCTGCATATATTTGGCTTATCTATATTTGTAATATTTTTAAATATTTTTTTAATTGTTGATGGACCTTTATTTATTTGTATGTGGTTCTGAGAATAGAACCCAGTGCCTCTCACATGCTAAACAAGCACTCTACCACTAAGCCACAACCCCAGCCCCTATATTTTGTCATCTTTTTTAAAAATTGTGAACTCAGAATACTTTTTAAAAAAATACAGATTCTTGGGACTTATCTACTAAATAAAAATCTCCAAAGATGATACTGAGGTTGAAAGGAAGTGACCACAACACTTGGAGCGACCTAGAGATCTTTATTGCAGCAGTGCAACAGAGGAGAAAAGAGAAAGAGAAGGAGAGAGAGAGAGCAAGAGAGAGAGCGCGAGCGCAAGAGAGACAGAGAGAGCAAGAGAGAGAGGCCCGCAGAAGGGAGTTTTTATAGCCCAGATCTAATGGGGTCTCTGGGTCTGCAAGCTGCCTTGTTGGCACACAAGGGGGTTAAGTGCTTGGCCTTGAGTGTCCAGTTGAGTGTTCAGCCTTGGGGGGCGGGGGTGAAGTGCTCAGCCTTGAGCGGGGGCTTGGGCATTTGGGCTTGAAGCAAACAGATGATAAAGAACCAGACAGAGGGTTTGAGTGGCCAGGTCATCCTGCAGCTAGGCATGCCCTGCAGACAGCTTACTCAGCTTGTCCTGCACCTAACAGAGGTATGGGAATTTTTGAAGCCTTCCCTGTGATTGTAAAACATTTAAACTAAGCTATATAATAAAGTAGCACATACTTTATTTGCTTAGTCCACTGCTGTCAAATATTGAGCTGTTTCCAAGTTTTTGCTATTTTAAACAACAATCACAAATATCCTTACAGGTATATCTCTGTATACAAAACATAATTATTTTCCAAGGACAATAAAGTGATTTGTTTATTTAAAAAAAAAATTAGTGAGCAGGAGAAATGCCCTCCACCCCAACCCGGCCATAATCTGAGATTTATGTGGAAGACTGGCAGATATCAAAACTCCCAAGGTTATTTGAGAAGGAATCATTGAGAGTTAGACAACTAAAACCCTAAAAAATAAACAAAAAGAGATCAGCCTTCTCTATCTCCATAATCACAGAAGTCATGTTCTAAGGGTCCCCTCAAGTCTTTTTTGTTTGTGCAGCACTGGGGACCAAAATCAGGGCCTCATACATACCAGGCAAGTGCTCTACCACTGAGCTACACCTCCAGGCTACTGTATTTTCATGCTATTTTAAAGTTTATGTTGTGGGGAAGGGGGTGTATTTCAGTATAGAGCCAGGTGCCAGGGCCCTGTTTTAAATCACCAGCACATTCACTCTCTCTCTCACACACACACACACACACACACCAAAAAAAAAAAAAAAAACTCCCATTTGTCAAGCATGCTATGATACAATATGAAAACTAAGGTTAATAATACAGTGTTTACTTGAAAATCACTGAGAAATTCATATTAATTAGCTCAATTTAGTTATTTCACTGTATACATATTTCAAAACACAATGTCATACACCACAAATATATAAAATTTTTATTTGTCAATAAAAAATAAAAACAAAGCTTACATTTGATTTTTTACAAGGAATTAGTCCCGAGCACTTTCTCAAACTCAGTCCTGTAGATCCTAGCTATTCACAGGCATCCGCAAGTGCAAAACATTTTGACCTAAATGTTGTTTCCATTCTGAACCAGGTAATCCACCTATCAAGTAAATACATTTGAGCTCATTTATATGAGTCACCTTCTTGCCACTAAGTTTCAGGGCCTGCATTCTTATTTTCAACATCAAACTGGCACAAGGTCATCACCCAAAGAATCCTTAAAGCTGCTGTTTCTCAAACCAAGACCCACGGACTTATTTCCAGTTCTGGGAATTTCCCCCTTTTAGAAAGGAATTTACATAGCACTCAAAGTTGAGAGTATAAGGGTCATACTGCTATTCTCTCCCACCCAGCACCCAGAGCAGGCCCAGTATTCAATCCAAATTAAGGTCAACTCAAATTAAGGACACAAAGTTCTGGATAGCATTCAGACACTCCAGAGGGGTCGGAGCCAAGCTTTCGTTTCACACTGGGACCTTTCCCCAAAGCAATGAGAACCACCTCTGTGCCTTTCAGTGTATTGCTGGAAACCAATATTCTGGGTTTCAAGAATGCTTAAATGAACCGGGCGCTATGGCGCCCGCCTATAATTCCAGCGGCTCAGGAGGCTGAGGCAGGAGGATCACGAGTTTAAAGCCAGCCTCGGCAAAAACGAGGCGCTAAGCAACTCAGTGAGACCCTGTCTCTAAATAAAATACAAAATAGGGCTGGGGATGTGGCTCAGTGGTCGAGTGCCCCTGAGTTCAATCCCCAGTAATCAACCCCCTCAAAAAAAAAAAAAAAAAAAAAAAAAAGCTGAAACCAGCAAGACCGACTTCACTCTACAAGTAGGAAAGAGGCCCAGACATGGGAAACGCCTTAATCGAGTGCACAAGACTAGTTAGTAGCAGAAAGAGAAACAGATCCTGAGCCCCCATACCAACCTAACTGCCTGCACCGACAGCTGACGCGGCCTCGGCTGATTGTTAATAACCGTGGTTAGGAAACGCAGACATCATTGCCTCCCGTAGCACCACCATCCCCGTCCTACTTGCGCCCTCCACGGTTCCCAACCTCCCTCGTGTCCTCTCCAAATGGGTTTGCCTAGCCATACTCCAGGTCTTCACCAGTATTCCGTATGCCCTAAACCCACCCTGAACACTTGGCCTACAGAAGACCCAAACTGAAACCGCCCAGCGAATCAGCCCCACGGCGCCTGCGCAACCCAGGCCGGCACGCGTTGGTGGCGTCACACGCGGCGCCAACTCCGCGCTCCCAAAGTCTCCGGAGGCCGACCACGGAGTGTCAGTGGATTTCTCACACCGCGCAGCTTCGGGCACAAGGAACCTTTTTCAGCCGAAATTTTGCAGAGAGAGCCTCCTCGTGGCTGAGAGCTACAGGACAGAGTGAAGAGAGGGAAAGAGTGAACGACGCTGAGGGAGACGTCATCAGAGAGCACCGGAAGCGGCCCGACAATGAAGAGTAAGGGATTGAGGGCCAAGATGTTGGTTTGGGATGGGGATGTAAGGGTCCGGAACTTGGTGCTAGTGGGTGAAACAAGTCAGGGCTACCTGACTACAATGGGAATTGTCACACCTTACATAAAAGGTGACTCGGTCTGTGAGCTAGGATTTGACTTCAGAGTAGAAGGCAGGTGCTCCCGGAGACTGCTCAGCGCTACGCTGTGCTGGAGCCGGAAGGCCCAAGAGATTGGCCTCATCTAGCCACTACCTCTCTGGTGTCTGCGGTCCAGGCCCTTCATCACCTGTTGTCCCACCTTTGTCTGGTGTAAAGTGCTGGGAGCTGCTGGGGAATCATCAGGAACCCAAGGCTTTGGGATTTGAACCGAGAAGAGATATATCAGGGAGGGGAAGCAAGCACCGGGACCGTTTTAGGCAAGAGAGCATGGAGATCAAGATCAGAATTTTGATTTCCACCTCTGCCGCCTCCTACCTATGTGTTCAAGTTAAAGTGTCTCAACATATCTGAGCTTCAGTTTTCTCGTGTGCATAAATGGAAATAGCAATTTTAAAAGAGGGCTTAGGCCGAATGTAGTGGCACATCCCTGTAATCCCAGCGACTCAGGAGGCTGAAGCAGGTGGACTGTAGGTGTAAGGACAGCTTCAGCAAGTTAGACCCTAAGCAGCTTAACAAGACCCTATCTCAAAAAATAAAAAGGCCTGGGGATGTAGCCTAGTGGTCAAGGGAACCCCTGGGTTCAATCCCGAGTCCCCCACACCTCCATGCCCCGCAAAAAAAAAAAAAGGATTGCATAGAAAGTGAATTTATACCGGTGATGAGAATCAGGAATGAGTCCCATTTCCCTGGTGTGAATATTAAACACCCAAAAAACTCCAACACAAGTGTACAACATATCTCAGAGCTGGGTGTCAGAGGAAGTCAGGGTGTCCTGCCCCTTGTATAGATTTTTAGATTTCCTTTGTTCTCATGCTCCCTTTCTTCCATTATCTTACCTATGTGACTGGGGACCAAAAGGTGGGGTGATCCAAGAGTGAGAAAGTAGCCACCTAGGAATACAGACAGGAAGAGAGTAGCCCTGGAGGCAGGTAACCTTGCCAACCTTGAGGGGGCAGGGGAAGTGTCCTAAAGGTATTAGTATTTTATTTCAAAATAAAATACTTTACTTTCAAACCAGCCTCTATCTTCCCTATCCAACCCAATCATTTATTATCTACATTGACTGTTCTTCCCCCCATAATGAGACATAAAATATATGTGCCTTTTAATCAACTTCCTAGCAAATAATGAGTGTTTGATAACTATGTATTGTTGCAGAGAGACTTCCAAGTCTAATGCTAGACATTTATGACAGTTGAAATTTCCAGGCCCTGGAAATGCCTACAAACAATTGATAATTTCCATCTCCCATTTGAGGGAGAATTGGACTCTATATAGAACTTAAAACCTCCTTGATTTGCTTGATCAAAATGTACTTAGGGGCTGGAGTTGTGGCTCAGTGGTAGAGCACTTGCCTAGCATGTGTGAGGCCCTGGGTTCAATCCTCAGCACCACATAAAAATACATAAACAGGAGATCCATTTACAATTAAATATATATATATATATATATGTTTAAAAATGTACTCAGGGAAGCACAGAATACCTGGTTGAAATTATAAAGTGTAGCGTGAATTTAGTTTTCTAGTCATTTGGCTCTTTTATTTTTTTTTATTTTTTTAGTTGTAGATGGATACAATATCTTTATTTTATTTGTTTATTTTTATGTGGTGCTGGGGATCAAACCAGGGGTCTCACTCATTCCAGGCAAGTGCTCTACCACTGAGCTACAACCCCAGCCCTCATTTAGCTCTTATGCTAGACCTTTGTCCCAATTTTATTCCATTCACACCTGTTCTCTGTTCCCAATACCACAGTTTTCTTTTTCAGACAAATTAAGGAAGAAAAAGGAGTGTAGAAGCTTTTAGAAGTTGACACCACATTGACCAATATATAGAGTGACGAAAGACCACTATATTTTATCAGTGAAGGATATCATCAATTATATATTTTAATTTCATAATACTAAAATGTGAAAAATCTTTCTTAAATATCAAGCAATCAGCAAAATGTAGTATTTCTAACCATGTGCATCCCGGACAGCTATATCACATACTTTTAAATGAGTTGCTTCCTTAAACATAGTGAACAACTGCTCAAAATTCTGACTTGTGTTTTTAACTAGGCAAATTTAAGGGTGGTCCAATAACATGCAATATCATCTGCATACTTGTTAGAAATGTAGAATCTGGGAGTAGGGACCCAAAATCCGTGTTTTAATAAGATCCCAGACTTCTTAAACACATTAAAGTTTGAAAAGCACTCTTTTTAAATCATACCCTTGGAACTTCTAGGACAGACATTGCCAAAGGGAAGCATCCAAGAAGGTTGGGAGGTGCTGCTCTGTGGTGGAGCACTTGCCTGGCATGAGTGGGGCCCTGGGTTCAGTCTTCCACCCCACCTCCCTGCCCCGCCCCCAAAAAAACAAGAAAACAAGCTTTGCTTCACATCTTCAACCTCTGAATGAGCATAGTTATTTTCATAATTAGAAAAACCTTCAATCTTTGAGCCATATCTAATAGATCATTTCTTCTTTTTTCCCCCTTTCATCCCCCAGGTGTGATCTACCGTGCTTTTTCTCAGAAAGAGGCAAAAGAGTACGATGTTCAGGTACAGTTTTGGGGAGGAGGTCCAGGAGCAACAGAGGCAATGGTGAAGAAGTCTTGGTTGTTTCTAAACCTCTAGTACTGGTTTAACTGTACTTGCCTGCATTTACTTCTCATCTTTCTGGTAGACATCTTTGACTACATCAAGGTCTGTTGTGCCAATGTTTCCATATGCCAGCCTCCTTTCCTGTTGTGCCAAAGTCAAGTTTGATGAACTTGGACTCCTTGATCTTTTGTCATCTCCCACTATGTAGGGAGTACTAGGCCGTGCCCATCTCTTAACTACCCTGATGAGCACTATCATTTGACCTTGTCACGGTACTCCCGTCACTCCTGAAGAAGGTGTACAAATCACATTTCATAAGAGGAATTTACAGATTATATCTGGATGTTTCAACATGTTTGGTTATTTAGGCAAAAGCTCTACTTTGTGGCTCCTAATAAGATCTTGAAATCAAGATTTTGAAAGACTACTATACCTTTATTTTGCTGCTTTATGAAAGAAAGACCACTTAGGTATTTAAAAGAATTTTTTTTAAAAAGTATCTTCTTATCTTTAGTAATAATAATAATGAATTCATTTCTGGTTAGTATAGTTTCAGTATAAAGCTGAAACAAGCGTTATTCCTTCCATCCTTACTGTGAACCACCTCCCCATGGAGAGATTTTGACACATAAGTTTTCATCTTTCATTTAACCTCAGTCTAGTATTTATAATCCAATTCAAGTAAGAAGAGCCAAGCAAATGGCCAAACCAAAAGGCAGGTCTTCAGTAAAGAGTACTGTCCAAAACTATAGCAGACCAGAGGGCAGAGACACCCACTGCCCAATGAGTAATAGATTGCTGGAATTCCAACTTGAGAGGCAGTGACAATTGCAGTTTTTTTAAGGAATTATACACAATTATGACAGAGGACAAAAGTCCTCTCTAAGAACAAGTGCTCATTCACAGTACCTTAACACTGTGGCCGTATTGGAGAAAGTGAGCCAAGAACCTGAGATGCACTGGACACCTTTCTTCAAGCAGTGCAGGAACAGATCACTTAAAGACTAGCCACACTGAACATAGGGCTGGATACCCAAGGAAAGAGGACTGTGATGTGGGCTCAGTATGAGAATTCCTACTTCCTGGCCACCCTGAGGTTCTTAGTTTTGCTCTTTTCCCTAGTTTTAGGTTCCTGTCCCTCACAACATAGCTTGATTCTACTGAAGTCTCCTTCATATGGTTGGGACTGAATAAATACCATTGTCATACATTTTCCAAGCTTTGCTCCCTGCTGAGGATGAGAGAAGTCTTCTTCTAAATAAAAAGGCTTTTTAATCCTTAACAGAATAGCCTCAGAGAAGCAGGACAGGAAGGCAGTGTTTGACATGACTGTTGAGTGTGACAGACTCACAAGTTGGCATATGGATGTGACATCTTGATGACTGTGGGTAGCAAACACTTGGCAGATAAAGATTGTGTGAGCCTCAGTGGGTAGACAGATGGGTCAGCGAAGATGGTGGCTTTTGGGAGTGATGGGTGAGAGTGTCTGGCGTCCTGGCAGCCCAGAATAATGAATACTACATCCACCCTGTCTCTGTGCAGCATCAGGAAGCAAGTCAGGCAGAGGCCTTTGTGAGGGCCTTCCTAAAGCGGAGCATGCCCCACATGAGCCAACAAGCTTGTGAGGATCAGCTGCAGCGCAAGGCTGTTGTTCTGGAGTACTTCACCCGCAGGAAGCGAAAAGAGAAGAAAAAGAAATCCAAAGGCCTCTCCGCCAGACAGAGGAGGGATCTTCGGCTCTTTGACATTAAACCAGAGCAACAGAGGTGAGCCCTGCCTTTGCTTTGCTGTCCTATCCCTGCCTAGTCTTGAGGTAGGCAGGGAGCACAGTGGCTGGCTAAGCAGCTTCTGCCCCACTTAATTCTCCATCTTCTCCACAAGGGGGCAGCCTTCCTTTACCAATTCATACTGTGTTTGGGTTTTGCTTTTAATAGCAAGGCATGGTGAGACTGAGGACTCTTCAGTGTTTGGCTTCTGTCCTAGCCTTAACTAATAAGATCAGTGCCATAAGTGAGTCTGTTGCCTATGGCAACGGGCTGTTTGTCTTTTGGCTTTCTTAGAAAAGAAGAACTGATATTTCTTAATATATAACTCTTTGTAGCTTTTAATATCACTCTACAGAACCACACACTGGGGTTTTATTGCCAGAGAAAGATTCTGCCTACACATTTTGAAAATTTCTGAAAGGAATGCATCACCATCTTGTGGGAGGACATTTTCCTCTGGCTGACACTCTGTCTCCCTTTGGCAATAATTCTGAGTTTGGGTGTCTTGGGACTATTTATAGGCTTTTGCTTGGAGATCCATAGCCAAATAGCCTCCCACATTTCAGAAGACAATTGAAATATGTCATTTTGTCCATGGCCCCTCTCAAGAAACCAGCAGCAGGCTGTGGGTGAAGGAGGTGATTGTCACCTGCCCCAGGGTTACCTCACTGCTGTCCTCACAAATTGAGGTCATTTTCGGCTTTGAGTTTATGGTTCTTGTTTCTCTAACCCATGGCCTCATTCATGTAAGTAGAGTCCCCATGAAACACCAAGACAAGTGATAATAGCCTTGGAGGGAGGCCTTTGGGGACTCTCACCTGTTCTCTCCCCTTCCCACCACTTGCTCCATCACCTTCCAGACACACCTGTTACCTTACAGGTGTACCAGCATGACAACTATCAACTCCTGTACACCAAGGGCTCCCTAAGTTCAATATTATGTGACAGATTAGCTTTCAATTTCAGTTACTTAAATAATACTGCAGTCATTTCTCTCTCATGAGAAGAACAGATGAATGGCACCCTGGGTTGGTAAGGCAGCCAGTCTCATACCCTCAGGGACCCAAACAGCACATTATTGCCTGTAGATGCTCCTCAGGGTCTGGGATGACTGCTGAAGCTCCAGGTGTCATGGCTGGTATCTAGCCAGCAGGAAGAATGACAGGGCAAAGAAGGGCCGCTCCTTTCTTATTAGGAGAAACAACCTCAAAAAGGTCTACCTTCAAGGAAACTGATGTTCAAGAGATAAAGGTATCTGATTTTAGTTAAATTGTCAGCAGTGGAATTAGGATTTACACCCAGTCCCTAATGGTTCCAGGTCATCATTATTGGCATGAAATCAAGCTCTGTGCTATTTGAACATTATAACACCAAGCTGATATTGCCTAACTTTTCACCTGTTTCTGACTTGATCACAGATACAGTCTTTTTCTCCCTCTGCATGAACTCTGGAAACAGTATATCCGGGACCTGTGCAATGGTCTCAAGCCAGACACGTGAGTTGATTTTTGAAGACTTACCCATTGGAATAGATCCCAAATCTTAGGGTAATTGTCAGTGCAGCCTTAGGAAGCAGCTGTCTGTGTTGCCTGGCTGCAGAAGTTTGTAGACCCTGTTTGCTTTGTTCAGAACTCTTCATCATGGTATAAATTAAGGGCTTCTGTTTACCTTGTAGGCAGCCACAGATGATTCAAGCCAAGCTGTTAAAAGCAGATCTTCACGGTGCTATTATTTCAGGTAATTTGCTTAAGAGCACCTGGTCATCCAGATGTTCATACTATCACTCAGTAGCAACATAGCGCTTGCATTGCCACATGGGTTCCTCAAAATATCTCCAGATTATCAGCATGGTCATAGATGGTTATAGCTATCTGGGCCTATTCTGATCTTGTTGGACACATTCTGCACACACTCTGTGGGAATTTATGCATGGCCAAGAATCTTGAACACAGAGTCCCTTTCAGCCTGTCACACGGATTCCAAAGTCTGCTATGACTGACAGATGGTTCTGAAGATGACATCTCCAGCATAGACCTTTTCCCTGAACACAAGGCCTGGTGTCCAGTAGGAACTTCAAACTATGTATTCAAAACAGAACTTTTAGTCTCCCCTCAAGTCAGCCCCACCCCTGGTCTTTCCTATCTTAACTAATAGAACTACCAGGCCAAACATGTAAGAGATATGCATGTTTCTTCTTTTCTAATTCTCTTCTAGTCCATCAGCACATCCTAGTAGCCAAATCTAAACCACCACCATCTTTCCTGCATTTCTTCAGGTGCTCCCTAACCCTCTCCCAGCGGACACACTTCCCCCTCACCCAGATCACACAGCCAAAGGTTTTATAACAGAAATCAGATCATGAAGGGCTATAGGTATCGTTCAGTGGTAGAGCACCTGCCTAGCATGCTCAAGGCCCAGAGTTCCATCACACACACACAAAGAAAAGGGGAAAAAAGAACACATCAACTCATGTCTCTTCCCTCCTTTAACCTCCCGAGAGCTTTCCATCCTTTTTGAGTAAGTCTGCCTCCTTACTATTGTCTGAAAGGCCTGGCTTACTTCGCTTGGGCAGTAGTCTAACCACACTGGCCTTCTTTCTGCCTCACTTCTTTCGACTTGGCCCTGCCTTAGGGACCTTGCCTTTGTTCTTTCTCTCTGCTCAGAGAGTTATCCTGTGTGTTCATCTACTGATTGTTTCTTATTATTTAGGCCCCTTCTCAGATATCACTTCTCCTGAGGGTCTGCCATTGCTAAAAGTGGCACCCTCTACCTTCTTACTCTGTCCTTATTTTCTTCATAGAACTTATTACTGATAAAATATATTTTTCTGTGTCTTGCCACACATTCCCCACTACCACCACTGTTAGAACATTGAATGAGAGCAGGATCCAGAATTATCTCATTTAGTGCTGTGCTCCCAGCACTACCTACAACTGTATCAGGAACATAGTAGATGCTTAGTGAATGTCTATACAGCACCAAGTCAGTGGTCACCACCTGCTGCCTATGGTGGTGACTCACCTCACATTGCTGACTGCTCTACAGCAGGACTCCCATTCCAGTCAGAGTTCAGGAGATCCTGGAGAATGCACAACAGGAAGGTGTTCATTCAGATTCTGCCAATGACAATTGGCTCCATCAGAAAAACAGACATTGGGCATTGGTGATGCTGAGCACCTATGACCTCTTGTCTCCAAAACCCTTCCTCAGACCCTGGTGTCCACATGCCTTCCAAAGGGCATCTCATAAGAACAACCCAGACCATACAAAGCTCCAGGGCAAGGATTTGGGAAACCTGAGTTCTCACTTGGGTAAGCTGTGAAGCCTCTACCCTCTGGGTGCTTCCTTTATTCTGCTGCTAGGTCAGTAAATGGAACCAGCACCCCCAAACCCTTGAGGACTGGCTGACTGGCTTTTCCAACACCAGAGAGGCCTGAGGTTTCAGCTACCTTTCTCGTTTGCAGTCACAAAATCCAAATGCCCTTCATACGTGGGTGTCACAGGAATCCTTCTACAGGAAACAAAGCATGTTTTCAAAATTATCACCAAAGAAGATCGTCTGAAAGGTATGTAACCATGTCTCTAAGGGTATTATGGACTGTGGTCTCCCTACCTGCTACCGTATCTCTTTGGGGCTCCAGGAGTTCCATTTGTCCTATTGAGTCAGGACAGATTGCAGATACTTAGCAACTCTACATTCCTAGCCTGCAGAGCCCACCCCTGCCCATTGGGCCTCTCAGGAGGCATTTGTGTACCTGGCCAGCAGCCCCGACTGCTTGGTTCTGTCTAAGTTCTGTTTGGGACCCTCCATCTTCCAAAAGTTGCTACCTTCCACAGGAGTAAACAGATAACAGAGGACCATGTGCCTGGAGAACTCCTGTGCCTGGAGTTCTGAGGACCATGCTTTTTGTGGTGACACTTAGGATATCATTGTGGCCAGCATTGCTCAAGCAGGCACATTGGGTCTGCCAGAATTTCAGAGATCCCCACCTCCTTCTCTCTTGTTTTTCCAGCACACACTCTACCCCCAGTCACTGTTCCTTCTTATATTCTGCTAAACATTATAAACCTCAGAAAGTGGTGTGAAAGTTTCTCCACTGAGCATAAGGCCAAGAGCCTGTCTGAAGGTTATGTGGAAAAACCTGTTTCTGCAGTTGTTTGGGAGCTTCTGGTTCTGGGAATTTGGTTCATAGCCTTTGGCCCTGAGAATTAGGTGTTGAGTTATACTTAGAATGTGAGTCAATTGGCTTTATGATAGAATAACCACAGGTAGTCATGTGCTGCTACCTTGGTGGGTTTCCCTGTTTCCTATTTTCTTAGCTTATTTTTTTTTAATACATGTGTTTTGTGAATAACATTCTACATAAATTGAGCTTACCACTGGATTTTTTTTTTCTCATCCTTTTTCTTCTCCCCACCCTAACCCAGTTATCCCCAAGGTAAACTGTGTGTTCACAGTAGAAATTGATGACTTTGTTTCCTACATTTATGGGAGCAAATTCCAGCTTCGGTCAAGTGAACGGTCTGCCAAGAAATTCAAAGCAAAGGGAATAATTGACCTGTGAATTCTTTGCCACTTTTGACAATTGTTTGTGATACCTGAAACTTGGAAACACCCTACAGGCCACCTATCAGTGAAGAGATTTTGGTAGTAGACCACCTCCACCCAAGGGAAATGAGAGTTAAGGACATGGAGTAATATGGGAAAATGCACGATGCACTGAGTAAAGAAGTCAGGGGACAGAGGTCTATTTCTAAGTGATCTTAATTTTATATTACTCCCATGGAGAGAAGAGAATAGCAGAGAACACACCAGGATTAACCCTGCTTGATTTGAAGAGTGGAACTATTCGTTTATTTCTTTTTCATATTTTTGTGTTTTCTGAATGTTGTATGATGATCACTTCTTCATGTTGTAATAAAATATACATGTATGCATAAACATTCCTGGGCTGGGGCTATAGTGGTAGAGCATTTGCCTCACACATGTGAGGCACTGAGTTCAATCCTCATTACCACATAAAAATAAATAAAATAAAGATATATTTAAAAAAAGAACTATTCCTGCAACTCACCAGGTTGAAAGGGAGGGGAGCCACAGAGTTGTGCCATCATGCCCTGCCTTTCACATTGATGCAGCACATCTTTGACACATTACTTTTAAAAGTACCTGCCATCAAACTCATTGAGCTAACTAAGGTTTACGTTGCAGTTTAAAGAAAGTTATGAGAGCGCTGGGGATGTAGCAGGAAAAAAAAAAAAGGAAGGGAGAGAGGGAAAGTTGAAGAGGAGTGAGTGATGAAGTTGCTAAGTGACTTAAGGCTCATTTCTTTAAAAAAAAACTGGTATATTTTTTTATTTGTTTTAATCAGTTACACATGACAGTACAATGACCTTGACATATCATACATTTGAATCACATGGGTTACAAAATCTCATGTTTCTGAGTATACAGGTTGCAGAATCACATTGGTCATGCAGTCACATATATATACACAGTAGTAATAATGTCTGTTTCATTTCTTCAGGGATTAGAAGAGGGGTGGGTTACTGAGACAAAACACTAGGTCCATCTGTGCTTACTAACAGTTGTTCCAGTACAAGTAACTTAAACCTACAGTTTGCATTCTCCCTCCTGAGTCTCCTGGGCTCCAGAGGCAGGTTAACTGCATCACTTTCCAAGGTCTCACCTAGGAAAACCGAAGTCCCCAACACATGGCACCTTTCCATATCTTAATACCATTTTTGCTGTTGAAAGACTTGGCTTTTCAACCTGACTCCAGCTCTCTGTGGCAGAGTCTGTAAAGCCAGTAGACAAGGCCCTTCTATGCAGGGCCAGAGGAAAAATAGGCCAGGGGGCAAAGTACCAATGGTGTGGGGGACCAGCCTTCCAGTGGCTAGTGCTGGGAAAGCCACATGGGTCAGAAACATGGCTCGGGATGACAAATTGTTCCTTCCCTGTAAGAAGCAAGTGTCTGTTGACCACCAAGGTGAGGGCAGAAGCATCCCTGGTGATCCAATTCATGTGCTTTTTCTTAGCCCAGAAGAAGCAGTGATGCCAGAAGCTTTGCTTTCTCAGTGTCTTCCACCCAGGGTGGAGAAGGGAAGTGTAAACACTGACTCTTTGTGACAGGAGAACAGAAAGACCTAGCTCTGTGACACTGCACCTCCTGGAAGCTCAGTGCATCTGCGGTTCCGCGGGACCAGCCTCGCTGCTTGGCCCTGCTTCCATCCAGTATGTTGGGCCCACTGCTCTCCAGGATGCTTCTGAGGCAGTGCAGGTGCTCTCTCCAGTTAGCACACAGTCTTTGCTGCTATGGTGCACGGACTAGGGGACAGAGCTCAAGTGCCAGTATAACCTTGGACAGGGAACCTGGCATAGTATCTACAAGGCCTCACTGACTGAGAGCAAAAAAGCTGGGATTTAAACCTAATAGCCTGGCTCTAGAGCTGTATTTTTTACTGTAGAATGGCTGCAAAGAAGAGAAAGAGAATGTGCTAAAGTACATAATACACTGTCTTTACTACCTGCCTTCCCACTAAGGAAATGTCTGCCTTCAGTGCAAAGTAGCTTCTGTTCTTCCAACCAGCTGAAAGTGCCACATTTGTAACAACGGCATAGGTGCTATAACTCCCTGAGCCATCCTGCCCATTCCCACCCCTCTGCAATGTAAAAGGCATCCAATGTTGTGTAAATACACAGTTGCTTTCCAGAAAAGTTGTTGGTACCACTTGCCATGTGAAATCTGTTTTTCATTTGGCGCAGACTCAAGTTTCTGTGAGAGTGGCTGTATAATTTGTAGACTTCTCTCCCACTCTGCCAAAGGAGACTTGGTGAGAACCCTCACCTGCCACAAAGCTGTGGCTGTGCTTGCTTGTTTCTGGGATGCACTTTTGTCTCCATGGCCCACCTAGGGGCCACCAGGTCCCATGCACTAAGGTCTACATCCTCCTCCCAGGTATAAGAGGGCCAAGTCAGGAAGGGCACAGGTCCTGATGAAGCTACACAGAGCAGGAGCATGGATCAGGGATGGCCATGTCCCCACAGGCTGTGACTCAAGCCTTGTCACAGTGGTACTTGGCAGTCTGATCTGTGTCTAACCAAGGAGCAGGACCCTAGTAGAGGCTGAGGCCTTGAAATGCAAGCCCATGTTCCATATAACTAAGTCTGCCTCTTGTAAATCATGCACCAGAAAAAGTGCCAGAGAGGCCAATGGGGAGAAAAGGTGGCTACCACCTCCAAGTAGGACTTAGGAGGCTTCTGGACCAGGAGGTGTCAGCCCAGAGACCCACTGTTCTCCAGAGTGAGCAGGCCCTGAGGCACCTTTCTAGTTCCCAGAGCCATCTCTGAATTGAGGATTAGCTGCAGCACAGAGCACCCAGGGGACAAGCCAGAGCCTCTCTGTGGGGAGAAAAGCAACTGGAGGGTGCTATCAGTCTGCTCAAACCTCCATAACAAAATACCATGGACTGGTGTTTCAGCAACAGATTTGTTTTCTCATAGTTTTGGAAGCAAGCAGTCCACAATGAAGGTGCTGTCAGGATTGGCTTCTATTGAGGCCAGAAGAAGTCTTCGTGACTTGCAGACAGCCAGCGCCTTCTCACTGTGTTCTCATGTGGCCTGTCATCTGTATGCAAGGAGAGAGAGGTCTCTCAGTGTGTCTTCCTCTAATTAGGACGTTGGTCCTGTTGGATTAGGGCACCACCCTATGACCACCTTTAACCTTAATTGCCTCCTTAAAGACCCTATTTCTTTCTGGGCGTAGTTGCTTAACACCTTTAATCCCAGTAACTCAGGAGTCTAAGGCAGGAGGACATCAAGTTTGAGGCCATCTTAGCAATTTGTAAGACCCTGTCTCAAAATTTAAAAATAAAAAGGATTGTAGATATAGCTCAGTGGTAAAGTGGCCCTGAGTTCAGTCCTCAGTACCAAAACAAAAAACAAAAAAAACAACAACAACAAACTAACTCCAAATACAGTCATATTGTGAGTTTTAGGGCTTTAATATATGAGGTGTTGGGATCACTAGCCAGTTCAACCAGCCCAATTTCTAGCCCCTGAGCTCCCATTTCCACTGAGTTATATTACTGGCTCTTTCAGTTACTTAGATTCAGGGCTGCTCCCTACAGATCCTAAAACCCTTGGTTTGCTAAGTTCCCCTTTATTTTTACAAATGCCAAACTCTTTCTCCCTTATTGTGGGAGGAAATATATACTGAGGTGGGCAACGTGAATGAACCAAGGAGGCCCCTGGGAGGATGTAGCTCCAAGCCTGGGCAGCTGTGGGATCTAAAGAATGTAGTCAAACCCAGGTTCAGGACAGGAGGCTGCAGGATCATCACAAATTACCCAGGAAATCAGAGAAAGGTTCATGAGGGTCTGTCCACTGATAGGAAGGAGATGTGTGGCTGCCAGTCTCAACCCCATAGAAGATGCCTAAGGTTCTGCCCAACTCATTAATGGAAGGAGATAAATAGCAAAAACTGCTAGGAAAGTTTTAATTCATGGGGCAGATTGTGGAATTCTGCTGATCCGTTCAAGTCCTGAAGTCTTTGGGGGGTCTTAG